AGAATGTTCTATGTCCTTGAATAAAATATAGAATTAATTTGAAAGAAATACAATGAGATTCTACTAGTGGTAAATGAATGATAACATTTCTACTTATTAGAAATAAATCATGTGATAGGTAATTGAGAAATATTTCACATTCAAAAAAGTTAGGTGCTTAAAATTAGATGTATATTAACTTATGAAGATAATAACAAGTACATCATAAGAATATTGTTTAAATATAAATAGTGTATACTGTTATATTGTTTGGGTGGTTTAATGTTGTAAGATTCGCTTGTATATATATGAATGCTTTTTTTTTCTTTTTTTTTTTACTTTGATGCACCCTGTCGGCCCAAATATGGGAGAGAGAAGTCTTTTGCCTGTATCAGCTCAATCTAGAGCCATCCACAGGCAGCAGTCGCTTAACTGCGACATCATATGTGTTTCAAATTTTGAAATATATATATATATATATATATATATATATATATATATATATATATATATATATATATATATATATATATATATATATNTTTTTTTTATATTAGAAAGTTTGGGGTTTGGTTTGGTTTGGTTTTTATTATATACCATCAAGTCACATTCAATTCTTACTGATACACAGATAGATGTACTCCAGGATGAACTACAAGTTTAAAATTTCCAAAATCCACTTAGGCTTTTTTTGTTTTTTAAAGGGATAGAATTTCTGGTCTTTTGGAACTACTAGTATATCAAATCATTTGGAGAAAATATTGTTAGCATGACTGCTGTAGGAATGTGGTAAAAAATAGTTTCTTGTTGTGAAGGTATCATCGCTGACAAAAGTTGGGAGCACCTCCTTCTCTACCTCTCTGGGTTTTATTTCATATACAAGGAAGAAATACAAGAAGAATGAGAAAGAAAGAAAAGAATCAAAAGGGAGATACTGTTTTTCAGTACAGGGTCTTCATCTCTCTCTCCCCCTCCCTCCATCATCTACTGCAAATTATTGGAGAAAATAACTGTGCAGCCAGAAGAACTTAAATGTTTTCCTGCATTAGCTAGTGGGGTGACAATACACTGCCATCCAGTAATTCTGAAGCTCAAGGATCTTTAGTGGGAGTAACAGAAAGCACTCATGCTCAATTCTATTCCTGCCTCATAAGAGGTAGCTGGTGAAATCCTTTAAGACAAAGATGATTATACATTGGCTAGGATGGCCCTCAGGTACCTTAAAGCAGTGGCTAATCATGAGTCATAAGGAAAAAGTATATGACAAGAAAATAGATAAATTGAAGGATACGTCATGTAATAGATATCAGATAGAGAAAAGGTATTGTGTACAAATTTATAAAAGCACTGGAAATGATAAACCAGCAAATAACAGATAGCCAAGAAAATGAGCAGTTATGAAACTTGAATTGCATACCAAAGGCAGAATCTCCAATTTCACTGAAATCAGAAATATTTTGACCATTCCATCAAGGAAAAGACTACAGAGAATCAGCCAACACCTGATAAAGAGTCTATGGAGATTCTTAGTCATGGTTGTCTCAAAGGTGCTTTTTCAAGAGGCAACTGGACTTTCTTGTTTTTCTTTGAAGACATTTCGCTTCTCATCCAAGAAGCTTTTTCAGCTCTGACTGGATGGTGGGGAATAGAAGGATTTATATTCCTTGCAGACAGCTGGTCATTTGCATTCTTTTAGAGAGTTGTTGAGGCTACTTGGAGGTTTATCTGTGTCCTCAAGAACACCTGAGTTGTGCAAATGGGTGTGGAGCCTTTTTGGAACTGCTGAAAGGACTGTTTTGTAGACTGGAGATAGATGATGTCGTATCCTTCCCCCTCTATTGAGGGAGAGCTGTTCAGTTTTGACATAGATGGCTTCTTTGACCCCTCTTTCAAACCAGCGGTCCTCTCTGTCCAAAATATGGACTTTGCTGTCTACAAAAGTGTCTTTGTCTTTTAAATGCAGATGGACTGCTGAATCTTGTCCTGATGGCTTTATTTTCCTATGCCATGTATTTATAAAGCGGTTGTTTTGTTTCCCCAATCTACAGATCTGCACATGTCTCACTGCATTGTACTGCATATATCATGTTGCTTAGTTTTTGTCTGGGTGTTTTATCCTTGGGGTGTACAAGCTTCTGCCCTAGTGTATTCTTGGATTTAAAGAGTGCACATATGTTGTGTTGGTTGAAGATCAAAGAAAATCAAGCACACTGAAATCACAGAAAAGGTTAGTAGTGGATACATAGAAAAATGAATTCTTAAAAGTCCAAACTCAGTGGTAGAAATACCATCAACTTGATTAACATCTGGGCAACTCCAGTCATTAGATATGCAGCTGAAAAGTGGATTGGACTCAAGCAGAAATAAAAGCCCTGGATAGGAAGAACAGAAGAATAATGACAGAGAATCATTGAACTTCATCCACGCAGCCAAAGGCTATAGGTGGGCATGAAATTTTGCAAGAACATCAAACAGTTGAAGAAGAAAAAGGGCATTGGAAGAATGCCCTTCACTATCTGAAGGACAGTGAAGAAGAGACACTAAAGCTACCATGAAGCTTACTGAATATTAAAGAGACTACATTGGCTTATAAGAAGAATAGAAGAGAGACATAGCAAGGCGAAGTATTACGTGCCAAGTAACTAAAAAAACCTAGCAGGACGTGCAGATAACTACAAGACCTGACAATGGCTAATAGCAGGAAAGCAAGAAAAAGACAATTCTGTATGCATTAAAAGAGCTTACAAACAAATGCATGCTGGCTTTGCTGGCTTTGTGAAGACAGCGACAGGAAATGCCTTCACTTCAAAGAAGCTGAAGAAACACCTAGTTGGGCCACCTTATTAGCTGCTGCAAGAGATTGACTACAAACAATGGCATGACAAAATAGCAATAATGGTGAATTGGAATAGCTGCAAGAAATACTATTTGCCTGCAAACAAGAACTGATGAAACCCACAAAACAGAGAAAGTAATAGAAAGATAACGTACTCTATGACTTTAAAATTCAAACAGACAAGCATCTGCCACACAACACTCCAGACTTAATAATTGTTGCTAAGACAAAAAAGTCTGGATAATGGACATGGTGGTACCTGGAGACAACAGAATAGAAGAGAAAGAACTGGAGAAAAATCACAAAATATAAAGATCTGTAAATAGAAGTAGAATGATTATAGCAAAAAAAAAAAAAGGCAAAGATAGTACCAATAGTAAAAGCACCTTGATTGTAATTCAGAAACATCTAAAACACCACTCAAACACCATTGGCATTGACAAAATCACAATCAGTTAATTGCAAAAGGCAGCCTTACTTGGAACACTTTATATCCTGTTGTGGTACCTTCAATATGATTAAACATCTTCTTAACCTAGGGCCTTGGGAAGGACTTGATAGATGGATAAAAATATCAAAGCCAGTCTAAACATTTGGCTGACTATGTGACCAACCGAAGCAACTATGTGACCAACCATATACCTAGGTATCATCATTATTTATTTTGATCATTGACCAACAAAATTCTGTTCAATACTAATATTAATTCCTTGCTATGACACAATGCATCACTGAGTAATTGAAATTTTAATAATAGGCAAAATTAATGTGAATCACAAATACAAGGATCAAAACATCAAACCAGAAGTTTCACAAGATTGCTTTTTGAACTGTAATGTATACATTTAGAGATGGAATTATTCTATGATGGAAGTTTTTAGCATAAGAAACATTTTAGATGATTTTGGTTGAGGGGTGGAAGGGTTAGTGACCATCCGAACCTTAAGAGTATTGATGGAGTAGTAACTATGCCTGTGTTCAATATTACATAATCATTTCACAATCTGGTTTATAACCCTCTCATATTATATTTTAGTATTGTAAAATCATCCTACTGATTTTTAAAAATTGTATTACAATTATTTTGAAGCAATTTTATAGAAACTTTGCATTGAGTGGCCACAATATGAATTTTATTATGGAATAGTAGCAGAAGCTAAACAAAATGTATAGGATTAAATTCCTCATTTGAATTCTTGCTTTAGGAGGAAGCAAATGAATACTGTTTCTGGTATTTTGCATTAATAATTTGACTGTGGTTATGCAGTCTGAATCAGAAGTGCCTTTTGAGGTTTATAAATCTTTAACCAAAGAATGGGTTGTGTGTAAAATTGCTCTAATCTCACAATATAGACAGACAAGGGGATAATGTTTCAAAGGAAGTGGCTGTTAAGTTTCATGAATGCTTTAGTACTGGGGAAAAGTCCTGTACGAAATATCATTGAATTTAAACAGAATAAAGTGCTTTGTTCTCTTTGATGATTGACAGTAGTAGAAACTTTATTAAGTATCATAAGCTTTTTCAAGAAGAAAACCTAATTAAATGAACAACATTTCTTACTACCATATTAAATAGCCTCTGTTTTTAATCATTCATTGTTAATTTTATTTGTATGTACTGGGTTACTGACCTGAAATGCCTCTCAAGATTGAGAAGCAGATTCAGTTTTCATTACAAGGTTAATAGGTACGTAAAGAGTTATTATCATTTAACAACTTGATGAATGACAAATATAAACTAGTCAACAACAGTTTCCTATAACAAAGTTGTCACCTTTGCAAGAATTACATACATGGTAATGGTAATTTAAACCCCACCTAAGCATATTTATTGCAGTTTCACCCTCATAGCATTATCCCAGATAAACAAGCATACTTATTTCTTTTCTTTTTTCTTTCTTTTCTTTGGGTAAAAATGCCTACTAATCTCTGTATAGTTACAAACAAAGCTGATGCAAATTCAGAATGTGATTACTTACTGATATAGCATGAGTCTGTACATTCATCATATATTGTATGCACAATTGGGGATTTTCACAAGGTTTGATTTTATCCAGTGAATTTCCAGTTTCCTTACGATTATATAAATCATCTGTTAGGATTATAGTCTTGAATATTCAATGTGTGTGTCTTTTATATAAATGATAATCTGTAAAAAGTAAAAATATGTTGTTTTTATTGCCAGATAGTCTACATGGGCTGGACAGAGGAACGGGAACAAGATTCTCTTCAGGACCGAGTGTACACACCAAAGTTTCTTGCACTGAGGGGTTCTTCACTTTATAAGTTTTTAGCACCTCCAGTAAGTATCATTCTGTATCCTACTTCATAATTAAATGTACAGATGGGGGGGTTACATTGATTTGGAGGTTTTATGTTAATTCGGGGGTTTTCATTCAATATTGTATCAGAAAAAATATATAAAAGGATGACAAAGAAAAGGTAATAATGGTAAAAAATCAATAATGGTAGAAATAATAAGAAATGATTTATAAATACAACTTTAATGGAAAACTGATCTGAAAATAAATCCTGCTCATTTAATTTATATTCGTATATTAAATAAAATCTTCCTCCTTTTGCAGTTCTTCCATTTTCATCAGGAGCACCTTAAAAAGAGCTCCCTTTCTATGTACCAATTTCCAAGAATGGTACACTCAAAGCCAGAAATAATTCATACTAGATAACTAAAAAAATCATCATTGTTTTTTCTATAAATCATAGCATGCCTTCTTGCCATCTCATTGCTTATGCAGATATAAGTGGGTTAGTGGAGTTGCTTTTCAAAATTGTATGGAAAAATAAGTGTACTTAGTTTTTGTGTATATTTTTACTCAAGGTCACAACATGGGACTGGACCCGAGCTGAAAGAACATTTTCTGTCTATGAGATCATGTACAAAATATTCAAGGTACGAAGACTAAAAATAAATTTCATTTAAATAGTAAAAATAAGAGTAGCATAGATATAAAGCATAGCTGAATTTCCACAGAGGTGAGCACTAGGTAGAAATTAGGATTGCATATTGCAACATGCAACCGTAATTTCTTTAAGGTCATGGCAAAATAGCCTTAGTTCAAAGAGAAGGAGGGCCCTAAAACTATTTTGAGCACTCTGCCATTGTAATAATATATGAGAATGACTTTGGGAGACCAGAGGAAGAATCAGAGACCAGACAATCATCATGCAAGAGCTATTCCAGCCCACAAAAGCAAGGGGACCTGGGAAGCATTTAAAAAATGACCCTTCCTGGCTTTCTGGAGAGTAAAAAGGAGGGGAGAAATATTTCCACACTTGCAAGTTCCTATTAATGTAACCTTACAATAAAGACAGAGCTAGTTTTCATAGTTGTGCTTCTTGTCTAGACTGCCTTGAAGGGCTAACAGCCATGAGGAATAATGAGGAATCAAAGCAAGTCTTTTACTCCTTTGTTTTTATCCTAAGGTTACAAAAGTCAGGATAGTAGGTAGCTCATTTCTACATACCATCCAATCCTTTTGCTTCTCAAGGCTATCAAAGTAGCAGTTTTTTAAGTATATGGTCAGAAATGGCTTTTCATATTAATAATATTCAAAAGTACCATACAGGTAGTACTTGACCCCAATTAAGCCAAACATTTCCATTGCTAAGCAAGACAATTAAGTGAGTTTTATCCCATTCCATGGCCTTTCTTGTCACAGTTGTTAAGTAAAGCGCTGCAGTTTTTAAGTTAGAAGGACAGTTTTTAAGTGAATCTGGCTTCTCCATTCATTTTGCTTGTCAGAAGTTCACAAAAGATGATCACATGATCCAGGGACACTGCAACTATCATAAATAAATGCCAGTTGCCAAGTGCCCAAATTTTGATTATGTGACCGGGGGGGGGGGTGTTTCTGCAACGGTTGTAAGTGTGAAAAAGGGTCATAAGTCGCTTTTTCTGTGCCATTGTAATTTTGAGTAGTTCAACTAAGTGAATGTAAGTTGAGAACTACTTATAGTGTTAGTCAAAGAAGTTTTAATAGTATCAACTGAGAAGTTCAACTATTCTTATTTGATAGATATGTATTTTCTTTTGCCATCTGTGCTTTTGCATTTTGTGAAAACATACTAAACTAGAATTTAACTACATTGTTAAATATACAGACTTAAATCAAGCAAATAAATAGTAGTAAAGTATTTGGAAGATATTAAACTATTAGCCAGTGTCTATATGTACGTATGCAAGAGTACTTCCATATTCACTATTTCAGGAATTGTTTATGCTGAAGTATAACTGTGCTTCACAATATATTATCTCTGGAATTTTATACGCAGAAACTGCTGTTTGACTAATGTCTTTTACTAAAAGCTGAATTTAGAATAATCTTTTGCTAAATGCCACTTCATGATAACTTGTGCTAGAAAAATAAATTCATATTTATCAAAAAGTTATGATATCTTTACAGGAAATGCTAGATATCTTTGCAAGTAATTGGATCTTGGTAATTGGTCATTCAGCTCTGAAGTTACTTGTCAGCAACACATTTCTTTAAGATTAATTTAATATTCTTTCCAATCTTATAAATAGTATCTAGTCAATGTCATTTAAGCATGAGATATGATCCTGAGAATACTGTGTGCATTAGAATATTTTTCACATAAAAAGTTGCATGAAGGCTATAATTAGTACCAATCCAGTCCCTTTGAATTATGTCAATTTATTGGAGGAGATATAAGCACCCTTATATCCTAAATCTGTTCCTTTGTTTCTCCTTTTGGCGTTCTTTCTAGCATACTTTCCAACCATAGTCTTTTCCTTTTCAAATCCTTTCTTTTTTGACAATCTGTCTTTCTCTCCCTAATGATGCCTCTTGGCAATAGCCATTTGAGCCATAGTCAACTAACTGATGGCATTATTTTTCTGCTTAACTGAACATTGTAACTGCTGTCAAGGCAAATTTTATATTGGTGGATTGAAAAAATATACCAATTCTGTTTTGGAGTTTGCATTAACTACCAATATAGAAAAGTAGAATGGAAGTTAGTAGTAGTAGTAATAAAGTTGGAAGGGACCTTGGAGGTCATCGAGTCCAACCCCCTGCTCAGGCATGAAACCCTACACCATTTCGGACAAATGGCTGTCCAGTCTCTTTTTAAAAATTTCCAGTGTTGGAGCATTCACCGCTTCTGAAGGCAGGTTGTTCCACTGGTTAATTGTTCTAACTGTCAGGAAGTTTCTCCTTAGTTCTAGATTGCTTCTCTCCTTGATTAGTTTCCATCCGTTACTTCTTGTCCTGCCTTCAGGCGCTTTGGAGAATAGCTTGACTCCCTCTTCTTTGTGGCAGCCCCTGAAATATTGGAACACTGCTATCATGTCCCCCCTCATCCTTCTCTTCATTAAACTAGACATACCCAATTCCAGCAACTGTTCCTTATATGTTATATCTGAAAATTATCAGACTTATGTTATCTCTTTTCGAAGAATGATTACTGTACAAAACTATTCATATAGTGAAAAATATAAAATAATTCAGTCAACCTATGGAATTCTATCAACCCTTGGTTCTACCTATCCAGTGATCTTGATCAATGAAATAAAGCCATAGAAGAAATTTTGTACAAATCTGGGGCCATTCTCTCATCATTAACTCAAGATCATGATAACTTCACTTAACTGTACAAAAGTATGGTGTTGAAAATGTTTTGAATACTGTTAAATCTCAATTGTCACATTTTCACAGGGTAGTGAAAAACTCACACAAATAATTAAAGGCCAGAATATTGATTATTTAATTTAAAAAACTAAACTAAAACAGGCCATTTTTAGTTTAGAACAGATGTAAGAGATACAGAGATACAGATACAAATTTAATACAGAAAAAGCATCCAATGAATGTTGCTGTGGATTTGGAACAGAAAAAAAAATGCTGGGTTAAATTTTGGATTTTATGGTTCTTATACCAGACAACATTAAGTTAGGATATTTTGACTTATCTTCTACAGTAGGGGCACAATAGCTCAGCGGTTAAAGATGCTGAGCTTGTAAGCTGGAAAGCTGACAGTCTGGATTCGAGACCCAAGCACTGCATGATGAGATGAGCTCCCATTATTTGCCCCAGCTCTTGCCCACCTAGCAGTTTGAAAGTATGCAAATGCAAGTAGATAAATAGGTACCATTTCAGTGGGAAGATAACAGTATATAGTTATGCTGGCCGCATGACCATGGAAATGTCTTTGGACAATATTGGCTCCCTTGGTTAAAAAATGGAGATATAAGCATGCCCCCCCCCGAGTTGGAAATGCCTGGACAGGGGAAACCTTTACCTTTACCTTCTACAGTATTTTACTCTACCCCAGGGGCTGAGCAATCATTTCTGTCCTCCACCCCCATCCGTTAACAATTCGCTCATTCTTTCCCCATTCCCAGGCCAAGTTTATATTCCTTCACAATATAAGCGTGTTTTTAGGACTCTATGTTAACTTGAAAAATGAAGCTTGTTTTTAATGAAAATGAGAAAATGTATATTGGTTTTGGGATTGGGAAGCCAATGTAGGCCTAAGATCTTCTAGAGAATAGTTTATTTTCTTAAAATAAAGCTGTTTTTATTTGTGTGCTTGAATACTCTGTGATCATATAAATTTATTTCTAATCACCCACACAGCAACATATTTTTTGTTAAATTAAAAGTAGTAGTAAATGTAGAATGAACAAACAAGGTAGAATGAAGCTATCAATTTTAATTGCTCTTAATATCTTATTTTTCTAAGCTTCATTATGACTATGCATTTGTGCTTAAGGCCTCTTTGTGTAAAAAATTACAGAGAGGTTTTACCATTTACTACCATTCATATAGTATGCATTTTGTATAACTTTAAAATATTATTTGTCTGATAAATGTAGCCTTTGCAAACAATTCTTTTACAGCGTGGGTCAAAGGCATCTGGGTTGGAGGGATTCAGGGAAACCAAGATGATGGCTGTGGCCCCTTGCCCAGAAGGCCTTTTTCAGTTACTTATCAAATTAAAGCTATGAGATTAAAATAGGTCATGGTAGATAGGGAAATGTATTTTTGCAAACAAAGGGGATATGATTCTTATTCTGGAAGCATGCATTTTGTCCTCATATTGTACCCCTTTCTTGCAATGTGCACTGGGGCCATTTTATTGTAACACGTTCCACAAAACCTATAGATAACATTCAGTAAAGAAAGGTTATAATCCAAATCATATTCAAAATATTTTCTATAGTTTTTTTTTACTCATATAGTTATTTTGAATATGCTGGTGTTTCTTTTGCATTTTTATTCAAATATCTTGGTTGCTGAGTTGTTACTGCTTTGGTCAATAACATACCTAGCATGTCCATCATATCATGTAGACCAGGCATGTCAAACCTGCGATGTCATGTGACGTTGCATGGCATATCGCGACTTTTTCCCCATCGCCGGCAATGGGGTGGGCACAGTTTCAGCATGATGCATCTGGCCCACGGGCCGGCAGTTTGACATGCCTGATCTAGACTGATATGTGTGTGAATCAGCTTTGTGGCCCAAGAATAAATCGTTTTTTTAGTTTTGTTCACATTATTGGCCCATCCAATCTTCTAAAATATTAAGTGTTTCCATTTATGACTAAGTACTGGATGAAAGTGGCATCTTCTACGTCTGATCTTAGAATCAGAGCTGAGATTGAGAGTATTATTGTTATAGCATAAAGATCCCAAATTGCAGGTGAAATATTGCAAGTGGAAATATCAAAGTTATTTGCAATGGCATTGGTGTTATCAACCAACACAGCCAAGTCTTCAAATGCAAAACAGCCAGAAGGATATGACTTAGAAGTAATAGTATGTAGTAATGGATTTGGGAGGATTAGAACTTGGCAGCAATACATGCATTGAAAAAGTGTAAACAGAGAGAAAGTAATATAAGGAAGCAACAACTGACAGATTTCTCTGTTTCGATTCAATGAAATGCTTTGCTTGGCATTTTGTTCAATTTGGAATTTTACAATTGACTTAGATAGCTTTTAGCTTTTTCTGCTATGGGGATGATGTTACGGAAAAGATTTAGTGGTAATGCACACATATTAATCTGCTGGAAGAGCTAGAAAGACACCATACTAGTCAGAGTGAATCAGTTGTCTTTTCATTATAAAGCTGCAGCCTTTGGAACCAATGAAACATTGCCTTGAAATGTGGGCAATCTTAACTGGTTGAATTTAAACCTATCTGGAAATCATGCTTTGACATTGACTGGTTTTAGCTATTTTGTTTAGAAACATTCTTGAACCTTTATGCCTTCCCTTTCACAATCTGTTCAATCTATCTTTCACAAATGTGAGATTGACAAAAGGTTCTTAGAATATTACAAGTATTAGTATTATTACAATAGAATATTACAAGTATAAGCATTATAGTATTAACATAAATATCTCATATCTACTTGTCAGATATGAAAAATCTAGGGTACTCATGAAATTCTAATTAAACTGACTTATTACTAATCTTGCCTATGCACAAGAATCTACTGAACTAACAGTTACTATTATCTTGGCATTAGATAAGGGCTAATAGAATTCAAAAGGGGTTGGACTTGGTATGTTTGTGGCTATGTAGAGACTCTAGGTTTATTCCTCTTTTGATTCCATCCCCAGATTCTGTCACTCATTCTCTTGCTACTATAAGGAGTTTTTGTAGTTAACATAATCATGGAATTTTAGCTTTTTCCTCACATTTGTATTCTGCCCTTTTTTAAAGGAATTTCAACCATTAAATTATCTTTGGTGGGATAAATAGTTAACAGCCAAGGCTACACAGTGACAGTGAAAGCTAATTTACTTAGAATTACAGCTCAACCCAGAGATGAAAAAATTGAATAAAAAAGCCCAGTTGAATTGTATATAATATAAGTTCAGATGAAGAATCTTGTTGCACTGTGTTTTTTGTTGTGTTGTTCATATGCATCTAGCCAGAGGTAGAAAAAAGGTTCTGGACAAAAACAATAAAAGCTTTTGTTTTAAGGGGTACCATCAATAAAAACTTCTGAAGTGTAAACTTGACCATAAAATTTGATAAACTTTCCTTGTTGCTTTAGAACTTTTTATTTCTATGCTTTTCAAAACACCTATCCACCAAATCAGTTGAATGAATATGAACAGTATAGCAATGAAAAAAAAATATTATTGCAGCTATGGACCTCAACAAGCTGATAATATTATCAAAGCAAGATGAAGGCTGATAGGAAGTTAGTTTATGATTATCAGCTTTTCAAATTTATATTCAGAAAAGGGATAATGGAGCATCAAAATATGACTGCTTAGGGTGTCAAAATGATTAGACATCATCTTAATTATAGCATAAAAATGGTTTGATATCATTTTTTATCATGTTGCCATTATATTGTCTTCATTCATCATGAATCCATGATGAATCCATGAATGGCAGGAATGCATGATTCTTAGCTGTTTTGATATTAAAAATGCATTCTTTGCCTTTATTCTGATGTGATCCAAAGACAGTCTCAAGGTACATAAAAATGGTTAGCTTTTGTCAACCTTTACCATGGAAGAAAATCAGAATACTGCTGTGACTTCAAAGAAAGGCAAGTTGGGAATCAGCAGTGAAGGAAGGTGGATACTTTTCTTCTGACCCAACATTGAATAATGAATAAAGAGCACCTCAATTCAATTGTGGGAAGATTTTCTGTCTCAGTATGTTGTGCTGCAATGCACAGGCTAACACTATTGAATATGATATTGTCAAGTATGGCTGTCAAGATGGTGGCGGGATTGGAAACCAAGTCTTCTGGGGAACATTGCAAAGAATTGTATATGTATATTGTATATGTGTAGTTTGCAAAAGGGAAGACTGAAGAGAAATAGGAAGCAGTCTTTGGATATGTAAAGCGTTGTCAGAGAGAGAAAGGAATAGACTTGCTCTTTTTTGCCTGGAGAGAAATGCTAATGAGTTGAAACTATAGAGAAATAGATTCAGGGTAGATGTTAAGAAAAAATTATTCATAATAACTGATGTTGGTCAGTGGAATAGGTTGCTTCCTAAAAGATAAGTTCCCCATCACTAAACATCTTCACATGGGCTGGATAACAATCCAATATTTTATATCTGCCCAAAATGCTTCAGTCAATCCTACATCAAGCAGAGGGTTGGACTCAATGACTTTTGAGGTCACATTCAGTGACATATTTTTGTAAAAGAATAACCTGCTGAGCAATGAAAATAAATTAGCCAAAAGCTAAAGAATAAAGTTTCCTTTTTTATGCATATTAACAAATATAATAGATATGTTATACCTGGGTAACAATGCAGCTATACCTTTAAATTTGTACTGAGAATGCCTTGCGTGTGAATAAATGTGGATTGTTGATTTCCATATTCTCCAGCATCAGAGACAGTACTTAACCATTGCTGCTTTTGTGATTAAAGTTTTTTATGATGTTTTAATAGACGTTTTATGTACAGTATGTATCTGTTATTTGGAAAGTGCAACTCAGTAACATTTACAGATCACAGGCTGAGGTTCAGTAGTAATTTCTGTTGAACAAGCTGAGACTTTTTCTGTTCTTAACTCCTCTTGATTTCTAATTTGATTCACAGGCTGATTATTGTAATATGTGTTCAAATATGGCTATGATTATCTCCAATCAGCCAAGGCAAAAGAAAGTTGCATTTTTGTCTAATTAGGACATGAATTTACCAGTCTAGGTATACATACAGTAGTAGTATCTAATCTAACCTAATCTACTAAATCTAATCTCTTTCTACTTTTGTTAATTTCCAGGTGACAGCTTTTAGCCAAAGAATTGTTAATTAATAACCTCCCTTTTTTAAGGGAGGACATTTTTAATTTTTATTTTTTCAGACTAGCAATTTATTTGACTTTAAAAAACAATCATAGCAAGATTGCCTGTGTAAATGAATTCTTACAGATACCCGGGTACCTATGAGATTTTTATATTTCAAAGTGGTAATCCAAAACAAAAGGCCAAAACAACAAGAAATACAAACCCAAACTAAATGGGGTAATATTAGGATAGAGCAGGGGTAGGCAACCTTGGCTCTTTTATGACTCGTGGACTTTAACTCCCAGAATTCCTGAGCCGGCTGGCCCAGGAATTCTGGGAATTGAAGTCCACGAGTCATAAAAGAGCCAAGGTTGCCTACCCCTGGGATAGAGTAATAGGAAGTAGTATAAAACTATCTTGAAGCAGGAATCTAATGTAAGAAATCTATGTGTGGAACTTTATCTAAGGAAGAAGTCATCTTGAGTAAAGAAATAAGCCTTCATATTTTTAGGATAGAGCGTGCATCCTGAAGAGCATGCATTGATACTGAATTTTGAAAGGAGTGACAACTCATACCACATTGTTTTGGACTGGGAAACAATTCTTTATTTGCATCTCACAACTTGCCTTTGAATCTGGATTTTATAATTTTATTAGTATAATTTCAGCTGTAAAGGAGAACCATTGATAATAAAATATATGTTTTAGTCAGTATAATGTTCTTAATTTAATTTATATACAAACATAATTAAAATAAAGGCATACAATTTACATGGTACGTTACTCTGTATAGGTACTTTGTTCTGCATCTAACATGTGCATCAATACTAGAAGAAATTTTAATTGATGTATGCAAGATTATATAACTCCAGGTTTTCATCAGGACAGTGATATACTGGATCGGCGAAAACACTGCTTTGGAGTACAATCTGAAATGGGAGAGGATCTCTACTTCTCTGTGGAATTAGAATGTGATCTCATACTATGGGAAAAGGCCTTCCAATCAGCAACTTTTTTAGAAGTGGAAAGAATACAGGTAAGAAATATGAGATACTCAATTTAGAATTATTTACACAGGAAAAAATCAAATGCAAAGCTGTACAATAGGAGATACTTAACTTTCTAGTGGCACACAAAAGTTTGTAGGAATCATAAATTGAATAAAAAATTAACACTGTGACATGGCTGTTAAAAAGACAAATGCAATTTTAGATTGAGAGCCATTCTAAAATGGTGTAGTGATTAAGTTATCAGGCTAGAAACTGGGAGATTGTTAATTCTAGTCCTGCCTTAGGCACAAAACCAGCTGGACCTTGGGCCAGTCACTGTTTTTCAGACTAGAAAGACAGCAATGGCAAGCTACCTCTGCAAATTCCTGCCAAGAAAACTACAGGGACTTGTTCAAGCCGTCTCTGGGAATCAGATAAGATGAAACAGAAAAAAAATAATAGATTGAAACAATACAAGAGTCTAAATAATAGGGAATACTCATTCCACACCTAGTTGACCTTAGCTGATCTCGGAAAACTAAGCAGCTAAGCAAATTCCAGGGCTGTAAAATTAGACTGGGGAATCAACACAGATTTCATTCGCATTGGTCAGATGCTACTTTATGTACTCAGGACACAGTGCTGGTACAGAAAAAGGCAATGTAGGTTCAAGGGTCGATAAATTCAATAAGGAGACACTGGGGGAATTAGAAATGTTTACTCTCGAAAAGAGATAACAAAAGAGATGATAATACTTTTCAAATACCCTGAAAGGAAAAATACATAGAAGAAGGTACCCTTTTATCTCAGAGTGCCAGATATAGCATAATTATTTAGGTTACTGCAAGGCAATTAGTAACTTGGAAAAACATTCTTAAATGTAAGAAATCTATAGGGGAAAAATTAAAAGGAAGGTGGTGAGTTTCCCCTTCTCTGGTTATATTCAGGCAGAAAGTGAGCATGGCTGTTTAATTTGGGTTACTGCACTAAGTAAGGAAATTGGACTTGATGACTTAAATAACCCTTTCAAATCTCTAAATTGTTAATGTTATATTAATGACCTTTGTGTTAAAAAAGATTTAAATCAAATATGTATTAGCTAGTTCTTGCATCCCAAGTCTTCAGATGATGAATGACAGAGTCTTGGCTGTTTGATACTTTCAAACAAACCAAATGACGAGTTGTGCTACTAGCAGAGATGATGTGTTTTGTTCATTTTATTAGATTTTATTGAGAATGGAAAAATAGTCTGTTCAGCAAGGCTTTTTTATTTTTTGGAAACTATTATGTGATAGATTTAAATCTCGGAAACTTACTGAAAGCTTACTGAATGACCTTGGGCAAGATATTATAAGGATAACTTACCTCACACGATTGTTCTTCAACACAGTAATTGCTCTGAACTCATAATGTAACAGATAAAACTCAAGACAATAAAAATGAATAAAAACAGCAGACTTCTGGGAAACAAAAGTCACTGAATTGAACTGATTTTAGTGTATGGAGGCGAGTAAACTTAAAGAGCCCGTTTTTTAAATGGAAAGTAAAAAAGCCAACTGGGGCTCACATAAACCTCTTTTAAAAGAAAACAAAAAAATCTCTTTATTACAGAATAATGCCCTCTTCTTTACCTAAACTTTTGAGAAGTATAGCATATGCTCTAAAGATAGAGGATGTATTTGTGTAGTCAATACTCTACATAAGAGTATTGTCAAGTCACATCTGGAAACATCACTAAAATTTTGCCCAATTTGATCAATATATTCCATAGACATTTTTGTTTAATATGCATTCAGACAATGTTATGTCATATGTGCTTCACCTACATTAGATGATTATTTTATGATATGTGTGTTTAATTTTGGCTATATATGTGGATTTGCTTTTCTTGTTTTGAGCAGTGGGGAGGGGTATGGCTCCCACTGATCTGATTCTTCTTGGTAAACTATGCATCTGGCAGATCATTAAAGCCATAAATAACCATGAGTAACTGAAGGATGGTTTCCATGGATACAATCCTACTGGGTTACATAAACAGAATGAAGAAGAGAATTGTTTGATTAGTAAAAAATATTACCTTTTTTTCTCTCCACATTACAATTTGCAACTTGTGGTGCAAAAAAGTGTGTGTGTGTGTGAGTGTGAGTGTAAATAAATAAATAAATGAAGAATCTTAGACAAAGTGCAAGGTAAGAATATTTTTGTATGAATTCAGACATAAATAGCTATAATAGTTCTGTGCTTCTCAAATATGAAAAAACTTCAACATTCTTGTAGCTAAATCATTATAGTTTGATTTATAGCAAAAAGGCAATGAAACCATCAAATCAAATTGTTGTTATGGTCAAAGACCATCATACAATGAAACCAATACAGTTCATAGTATAGCATTTTTAAAATAATATATCATTCTAATCCATAATGCATTCCTGTTACGACTCCCTATTTTGCATTCTACTAAGAAAGTTTGAAAAAGTTGTTTTCATTTACCCTGTACTTCTTTACACACATTTAATATTTAAATTACCTGAATAACAATTACATGCATTTCTTTTAATTGACATTGATTGCTTTTTAATAGTTTCTCTACATTTTATTTTCAGAAAAGAGGTCCATTGAGCATTATAGTTTATTATTTCTAAATTTTCACGTTTCTTACTAAACAATTCAAACTGCAAATCTTGACAATCAAAAATCATGCTTCAGGCTCTGCTCTTCAAGTGGAACAATTCACAGACTCAATTTTAAGGTTCTATATTTTGCTAATGAGTACGCCAAAAATAGGTTACCTCTTATACAGAAAATCACTTTGTTGATTTTTTTATGGTTTTGCAGTGTATGAACTAGTAATTAAAAGCAAAAAATATTCATTTTGTAAGGCAGAAGGTATATTGTAAATTAATTAATTAATTACATTTTTTTAGCCCTATCTTAAAATCAAACTCTATGTACAGCCCAGGAACAAAAGCAATATATACAGCTAAAACAAAAACAATAGAACCCAAAACAGAAAAACCTGATGCAGCCAATTGCATTCTACACTTCACTGATGCAGCCAATTACATTCTCACCCTTCCCTGCTTATCTAGAAGGCATGGGGAAAGAGGAAGTTCTCTCTGGAAGATTAAAAGGGTGGAGATCTGTTCCATAGATCAGGGGCTACAAAAGGCTCACCTCTGAGGACCTAAAAGGTGGCAGTGTTTAAGAGAAGGGACCTATCTACTCTATTCATTCTGATGGGATGGGCAAATACTTTCAGGAGAGGTGGTCCATCAAATAATCTGGCCCCACACCATATAAGGGCTTAAAGTGGGTAGCCATTACCTTGAATATAAGAAGCCAACTATTTTGAATGAAAACAACTTAAAATCCTTTTCTGGCATTGTGGCATTTAAATCAGGATTAGGAGGAGCCATAAAATTGAGAATTCAAGTGATAAATCCATTGTCTGTTTCTTAGATAAGCAAACTTTTGAAAATAATGGTTGCAAAGTGAAGATATTCCTGATACTAAATGTATTACTTGGTTATGTGGTTTATCAGAGGAAAGCACATGTTGAAAAAGTGCATGCCAAGAAAATATTTTACAATTTGAGAAAGACTATAGGGTTGTCTGAGATTATCTATTTGTTCTATAAATATCTGCCAAACTAAGACATAAATCAATAAGTAATCAATTTGATTAGGAAGAATAAAAGAGAAGTTATGTGGAAGCAATTTCAACTCCCTGAGAAGGAAGCTTCAGTTTTTCCTCCTAAGCAATTTATTATGTTTTATATAAACTTGATTAGCAAGTAGAAATGTGGTAGTAATTTGATGTTGTGAATGCTATGCCTTGTAAATCTATAATCTTTTTGATATTAGTTTAGGATGTTCTAAGTTATCTTTTAGTAAAAGGCATATGTTTTTCCACATATAACTCAAGTGCAAGACAAGGTGCTTTCTTATACCCAATTCACTTCCAGGACTTTCTTAAAAAGCCCAGTACTCAGAAATAAACTATTACAAAAAAGCAGGACTGCAAACAACAAGGCTTCACTTTTGGAGATACACAAGGGCCTGGAATAAAAAAGTGAGACATACTTTTTTTTAAAAAAATCCAAACCCTATGGCACCATTCATAGAGTACTGAATTGTACACAGTCCTTAACATCTGAGTTAAATCCTTTTCTTTATCTTGCTCAGTAGTGCATAGAGTGTATGCATCATGGAAGATTCTTTTCAAGCAATTATTGTGATGTTAGTTGGGAAATAATTCCATCCTATGCATCAGTCAAGAGAGTTGTTATAAAAAGTGAATGACATTCTCTTCATTCCTCTCAAACTTCTTTCTTGACTCAGAAGATAAGCATGATTGGAAAGTAAAAAATAAGACAAAACAACAAAAATTACAGAATACAATAATGGAAAATACTTCGATATTGTTGTCAAAAAAACTCTATGACCCATTCTATAGAATGACTTGCTTATTATTGGGGAGAGGGCACAGGATTATCTTCCTGACCATAGTAACGAATGTTATGAATGAAAGCGGAGGATAATTTTGCAGTATCCAATCTGGATCAGTCACCAGGACCAGAGTTTTAGTCTTCCGAGCTTTCAGACTCGTGCTGGAACCCATCACCAGGGAGCTTCACTCTACCAGAATGAGTGCGAGAAATACCCTGAGAATGGGGCTCCAGCACGAGTCTGAAAGCTTGGAAGACTAAACCTCTGGTCCTGGTGACTGACCCAGATTGGATCTTGCAGGAATGTTCATGCTGTTCGGCAGTCAAAGTCCCTCAGATTTGCTCAGGGTTGCTTGGGGTGAAATAGCGGACTAAAGATGGCTTCATGTTTTGCAAAGCCAATGATTACAGATAAGAACAAGTAGCCAAAAAGGAGATGGACTCCTTCACCTTTCTGGAGAAAGAAATGAGATTGTTCCATATGGCTGCAAGCATTTTATTGGACTCATTTGTAGAATGTATATTCAAATGTTCAGATTTTCCTTTTTAGCCATAATTTTACAAATCGAATATAGCGAGTAAAATGACATTTAATATGTTGCATTGTTTTGATTTTTTTCCAGTGTAAAACATATGCCTGTGTTTTGGAGAGTCATCTTATGGGGCTTACCATAGACTTTGGCATGGGCTTTGTATGCTGTGATGCTGCAACAAAGGTAAGGACAAGAGAATTGTATCCAATTCCAAGAATCACATGGTGGAGTTATTTCAATGATTAATGAATGAAAATAAATGAGAAAATGGTGACTAGCCAATACGTGATGCTAGGATAATTTGTACTTGAAAAATATTATTACCAAAAGGTATCAAGGTGAAAAATGTTGGTGAAAATACTTCTTCTGGTGAGAGATATGTTGAGGAGAAAAAAGTTTAAGAAATTGCACCACAAAAAAGATTATAATATGCAGATCTTTTAAAAACAAAAACAAAAAAACAATAGAATTGTGGAATTATGTTTCTGTAACCTCAATATCTAACTTGTTCTAGTAAAAATATGCCTTCTGGGACTTCCAGTTTTGGGTTGTAGCGACACAGCTGAGAGATTGCGGAGCTCCGCACCCCATGGTTGGTTTCTCCCTGCCTGGGGACCCTAAATGGGTCTAAAGTCACCCCGGAGAGGCGATGAAAAGGGGTGCCCCTCATCAATCACGGAAAGATGGTGGTTGATCCCTTTGATCCAGGGGAAGCCCTCCAACCTGACAGGAAAAAGGCTAGCTGCACTCCGGTATCTAGCCCAAGCTAGTGGCATCCGAAGTCCAAAAGCACCAACTAAGAATAACTGTGAATAGCGTGTTGGAGCTGGGTGAGAAAACTGATCTTCTCTTCTCTATTTTGAAACTGATTTCCTGGAAAAGATCCCAAGAAGCACAATTTATCCCTTTGATCCTCAGTGATTCTTAGCTAAACAGAGAATAGCTGGGAATAGAGGAAAGAAAATACACTGGGCTATCTATTGAAGAATGAGAAATACAATTATTATGAAAATTGCTGACCTTCTTGGATTATAAACACTTAGTGAGCTATGATATTCAAGTTTAAGAATCGTCTGCAGAGAAAGAAAAACTTTGACTTTTGGGTTATTTTTCTAGGAGGGAAATTACTGGATTGTTTTTAAGTGGTTGAACATTTTTGACTATTTATAAAGATAAGAGACATATAAGACTATAGTGTTTGGAATTTAAGACTGGCTAGTTTGATGAAAATGGAAGTTGCATATACAACTAAAAGTGGTAAGAAACCACACACAATATTCCTTTCCAAAATTCCCAGTTTGGAACATCAGAGATCTGCAGGAGTAATACTACAAGACAAGACAAATATTTTCCAGGAGGAAATGTATGCTATGTTGCAACTAATTCAAATGACAATTGATTCAAATTATAATGAGATTAAAAATAATTTTGGTGATATAAATGAGCACATCCTTGACCTAAGCTCATATTAAAAAAATTCTCAGAAAATGGTGACAAAGAATGAACAAATAAATCAGATAATAGAATAAAAACTAGAGGAAAGTGATCCAAAGATGGAGACTACAAATGAAGAAAATTACAGCTTAACACAGCAAAGAAAAATCTGCAAGATTTTGCTATAACATTGGAAATGGAAAAGACATTTTATCTCTCAGAACTTCAAAACAAACCTGAAGATAAGAAAGAAGATTTGATAAAATGGACAATAGAGCTGTCAGGAGAATTACCAGGGTTTGGGAGACAAAAAATGAAAAGAGAAATCAAGGGAGAAGCTTCTTAATGAATATAAATGGGCAAAACTCCCTCTCAAAAGCACCTTACTCAATTTTTCTTTCCCATTCTTAACAACACTTATAAAAATATAGGAAGAATCCCATGGCTAGCTGAATATACTGACTTGGAAAGCTGCAAGGCAAAAGAAGAAGACGAGAGGTAGACTCAAGAGAGATTACTTGACCTATCAGATGGAGTACTATATGACTAAACACTTGTTTGAATATGGTTAAAAGAATAGTTAAATTTTGGAGATGAATGAGTTCTATAGTAAAAGAGATATGATTCATAAGTAGTATAGTATTTTTTATGATATGGGAAATATAAAAATAATGGGATGATTTAAATGAACAAAATGTTTTGGATATTCAAATGTAATTAACTTGGAGAAAATTATAACTGATAAGAAACATTCTGAATACTGAAGAGAAACTAAGCTTAAATAAGAACAGGCGAGAGCCAGACTCAAAAGAGATGACTTGATATACCAGATGGAATATTATATGACTAAACATTTGTCTGAAAATAGTTAAAATAATAATCAAATTTTGGATATGAAGGGGTTTTCTAGTAAGACAGATGTGATTTATAAGTAGTGTAGTTTTTTTCCCTCTTTCTACGATATGGGAAATGTAAAAAGTATTGGGATGATTTAAACATATGAAACATTTTGGATATTTAAATGTAATCAATTTTGAGAAAACTATAATTGGCAAGAAATGTTTTGAATACTGAGGGGAAACTAAACTTAAATAAGAAACATAGTGGGACTTATAGTGATTTACATAAGATGATTTTTTGCAAATGCAACTGTAAAATAAGCTGATTAGAAAAGATATTACATACTGATGTTATTGTTAAATACTAGAAAAATGTTTATATTTAACTTCATATATATTGATAGTATTAAGAACTATATTTGCTCAATGTTGGTAAAAGGAGAATACTATTGGAAGAAGAGAAGACCAAGGAAAGGTATTTCTAGTTAGCATGTTGATTATGAAAGCATAGAAATTAACTATTATTTATTGTTGTTAAATATTATGAACCCAGACAACATGTTGTTTACTAAGCACTAAAGATTGTTATTCTAAAATCTCAATAAAATATAATAAAAAATAGGCCTTCTGAGACTGACCTATAGACTTTTCTCATGTCTGAATTTTTAAAAAAGAAGCAAAGCCTACTGTCAACACTGGATTTTCTTCTGCCATAGCAGAATATTTGAATAAGTAGAAAACAAGAGATAAAATTCAAAAAGTGAACCCAGCTAAAAGTATTTGCTTTGGGCACAAGTATTATAAAGTATCTGATGCACACCTCTACTCTTCTCTGGTCTTCTCGCATTTTTTCTTGACTACTGACTATATTCCTAAGCCTCCTGCCACATTCTCAGTAACCAAATGCAATAAATCCTGGGTAATATAATCCTCCTGTGCTGAAAGAACAGATACTGCCTCCTAATCAGAGTACTGGTGTCCCTAAAATCAACTTAAGAGGAAAAACATAGAAGATTGCATTCATACTGAATCACCAGGAGTCTGAGGTGGACCAGTTTCGGTTTACAATTTGGTCAAACTAAATTGAGTTACATTTCTCATCTTGCTGATTATTTCAGTTTACCCAGATCAGTTGCAAATCTGTCATACAATCATGTTTACTCTTTGCTATAAAATTGTAATACAGCAATGGGATAAAAACTATTAGCATGCAAAGCTAATATTTTTAATTTTCAGTGTTCTACTTACAAACAGGTTACATTCCAAGAGGATATTTGTAAGTCCATTTTCTTCATAAGTCCAACCAACATTTGTTTTTTAAAAAAGCAGTTAGCGCCTCAGCTTCTTCTCACCTCTTACTCTTAGGGGATGGTCTAGGTTGATGTTATCTCAGCAGTGGGAGAGTCTGGCTTCGAGTCTCTCTAGCATTGATCCACTGCAGCTTTGGCCACTGGCACCAGAGTGGACTAGTCATCCCACAGGCCATTGGAACTCTTACTAAGGGTTGACAGCAAGACGATAAGATGCCACCGCCCAACACAACTCACAGGCAGAGGGGTGAGGTGCATGCTGGTCAATTTTGACATATGAGCAATGGTGGGCAGCCCCACAGTAGTCTATTCTCCATAGGGATGAGTGGGGGTGAACATGGTGGGGGCTTCCCAGTAGCAAGAGACCCATGGCTCCAGTCCTGTTGGCCATTCTGCCCCATTTCCCCACTATGAACCTTTCTGGGGTGTTCAGGGTAAATGTGGGTTTGGATTATCCTTCTGGATGGTCTTAGGTGGTGTGACTCAACTTTTTTTCATCTCCATCCAATTAATCACAGACTCCACAGGCTGACTCTCCCAGGTTCATGCACAGCACAATTCTTCTTCCCTTTGGCAACCCTCTTCCTTCCCAAGGAGCTTGGACCATCTTTCAGGTGGGTCTGTACCACCTCCACTCTCTTCAGGTATAAGACACAGCCATCCTTGATGAGAGACTTGTGCAGTTGTGCTGCCAAATGTATATGTGCAGTGCCCATCCTCGGGGAATTTCTTTCTCACAAAATGTCACATTCTGGTAAGAGAAAAGTTTCCCTGAGGA